AGGTGTGGAGCTTCTGACTTTCTAGTAGATTATATCTTATAGCAAACACATTGTTTTTCTGGCTCCCCTATTCCCTATTCCCCTATTCCATGATGATCCCAAAGCCATAGGTGCAGGAATTGTGTTGCAGATGTATCAGTTGGAATTGGGTCTTATAACTCCACATTTTCATCAGTTGTAGTTTTCTTTTAATTTAATATATTAATTTTATATCCTGATTGCACTTTCCTGGCCCTCCTCTTCTCCTTCCTCCTCTGCACCCCTCCCTCAATTCCCTCTTCTTCTATTTCTATTCAGAAAATGACAGGTCTCTTGTAATATCAGCAAACTACGACATATCAAGTTGCGGTACGAATAACCACCTCCCCTTGTATTAAGGCTGTGAAAGGCAAACCAGTATGAGGAATAGGTTCCCAAGAAACAGCCAAATTCTTAGCACATCCCCTGTTCCCAATGTTAGGAGTTCCACAAGTAGATCATATTTATACAACTGTCATAAATGTGTACAGGGCCTAGGCCAGTCCCATGCAGACTCCCTGGTTAGTTCAAACTCTGTGGGTTTCTATGAGCAAGATTAGATGTTTCTGTGGTTTTTCTTGTGATGTCCTTCACCCATCTGGCTCCTAAAGTCCTTCCTCCCTCTCTTCAGCAGGATTCCCTGAGCTTGGCCTAATGTTTAACTGTGGGTTTCTGAATCTGTTTCCATATGTTAGTGGATGAAGGCTCTCGGGTGACAGTTGCAGTAGTTACCAATCTGATCACAGGAGATAGCCAGTTCAGGTTATATATCCACTATTGCTAGGAGATCTCCTCCTAGAAAGATCCATCTGCACCCCCCGCCCCGGGCAGTCCTTATTATCTAGCCTCTCTGGGTCTGTGGACTGTAGCATGGTTATCTATTACTTTATAGTTAAGATACACTTAAAAAAATGAGTACACACTATGTTTGTCTTTCTGGGTCTAGGCTACCTCACCTTGTATGATTTTTTTTCTCTTACTATCCATTTGCCTTCAAATTTCCTAATATTATTTTAAATAGCTGGGTAATATTACATTGTGTAAATGTACCACATTTTTATCCACTCTTTTGTTGAGGGACATCTAGGTTTTTAGGTTCCAGCTATTACGAATAGTGCTACTACGAATATAGTTGAGCAAGTGTCCTTGTGGTATGATTGAATGTTCTTTGGCTATAAGCTCAAGAGTAGTCTAGCTGGGTCCTGAGGTAGATTGAGTCCCAATCTTCTAAGAAATTGCCATATTGGTTTCCAAAGTGGCTGTAAAAGTTTGCATAAGGAGTGTTTCTCTTCTTGTTGCACATCCTCTCCATTATGAATTGTCATGTCTTTAATCTTAGACATTCTGACAAGTGTGAGGTAGAATCTCAGAGTCATTTTGAGTTGAATTTCCCTTATGGTTGAAGATGCTGAACACTTCCTTAAGTGTTTCTCTGCAATTTGAGAATTTTCTATTGAGAATTCTCTGTTTAGGTCTGTACTCCATTTTTTAAAATTGGATTATTTGTTTTAATGATGTCTAGTTTCTTGAGTTCTTTTTATGTGTTTTTTTATTTTTTAATTCATTTTACATAACAACCACAGTTCCTCCTCTCTCTTCCCATCTTCCCCCAACAATATCCACTCCTCAGAAAGGATAAGGCCTCCCATGGGGAAACAACAAAGCCTGGCACATTCAGTTGAGCATGACCAAGCCCCCTGACCCCATCAAGGCTGAGCTCTATAGCATATAGAGTTGGTGAAGATCTTTTCCCATTCTGTAGGCTGCTGTTTTGTCATATTGACAGTGTTCTTTGTCTTACAAAAGTTTTCAGTTTCATGAGGATCCATTTATTGTCAATCTTAATGTCTGTGCTACTGGTGCTCTAGTCAAGAAGTTGTCTTCTGTGCATTCAAGGCTATTCCCCCACTTTTTTTTCTATCAGGTTCAGCGTGACTGGATTTATGTTGAGGTCTTTGATCCACTTGTACTTGAGCTTTGTGCAGGGTGATAGATATGGATCTATTTTCATTCTTCTACATGCCATCATTGAATTATGTCACCACCATTTGTTGAAGATGCTTTCTTTTTCACAATGTATAATTTGGCTTCTTTGGTAAAAATCAGGTGTCCATAGGTGTGTGGATTTATGTCTGGGTTTTTGATTTGTTTCCATTGGCCCACCTGTCTGTTTTTATGCCAGTACCATTTCTGTTTTTATTATAATAGTTCGGTGGGAGAACTTGAGAACCAGGTGGTGATATCTCCAGCAGTTCTTTTATTGTGCAGGATTGTTTTAACTATCCTGTGTTTTTTGTTTTACCATATGAAGTTGAGTATTGTTCTTTCAATGTGTGTAAAGAATTTTGTTGGAGTTTTGGTGGGAATTGCATTAAATCTGTAGATTGCTTTAGGTAAGATCGCCATTTTTACTATGTTAATCCTGACAATCCAAGAGTATGGGATATCTTTCCATTTTCTGATGTTGTCTCCAATATCTTTCTTCAAAAACGTGAAGTTCTTGGTATAACATGCTTGGTTAGATTTACCACAAGATATTTTACATTGTTTGTGGTTATTGTGAAGGGTATTGATTCCCAGATTTCTTTATCAGCTCTTTTATTATTTTTATATGAATGCTACTGATTTTTTTTTTTTGAGTTAATCTTGTTTCCAATCACCTTGATAAAGGTGTTTGTCAGCTGCTGGAGTTCCCCCATAGAATTTTTGAGGTCATTTAAGTATACTATGTCATCTACATATAGTGATACTTTGACTTCTTGTTTTTCAATTTCTATCTATTTGAATCTCCTTTTGTTGTTTTGTTGCTGTAGCAAGAACTTCAAGTACTATATTGAATAGATATGGAGAGAATGGACATCCTTATCTTGTTCCTGATTTTGGTGGAATTGCTTTGAGTTTCTATGCATTTAATTTGATGTTGGCTGTTGGCTTGTTGTATATTGCCTTTATTATGTTTAGGTATGGTCCTTGTACCCCTGATCTCTCCAAGACTTTTTTTTTTTTTAATCATGAATAGATGTGTTTTTTTTTCTTTCAGTTTGTTTATATGGTGGATTATATTGACACATTTTTTCATATGTTGAACCATCCCTGTATTTCCGGGATGAAGCCCATTTGAACATGCTGAATGATCTTTTTGATGTGATCTGGGATTTGGTTTGACAGTATTTTATTGAGTATTTTTTTTTGCATCAAGGTTCATGAGAGAAACTGGCCTGTAATTCTCTCTCTCTCTCTCTCTCTCTCTCTCTCTCGTCTTTGTGTGGTTTAGGTATGAGTAACTGTGGCCTCATAAAACATAATTTGGTAATGTTCCTTCTGTTTTCTGTTTCTATTTTGTGGAATATTTTCAGGAGTGCTGGTATTAGCTCTTCTTTGAAAGTCTGGTAGAATTCTTCACCGAAACCATCTGGCCCTGGGTTTTTTTTGGTTGGGAGACCTTTAATGACTGTTTTTATTTCCTTAGGGTTATAGGTATATTTATATTATTTATCTGATCTTAATTTTGATATGTTATATCTTTCAAGAAATTTGTGCACTTCTGTTAAGTTTTCTAATTTTGTGGAGGACAGACTTTTGAAATATGACCTAATGATTTTCTTGATTTCCTCAGTGTCTATTGTTATATTCCCCTTTTGTTTCTGATTATGCTAATTTGGATATTCTCTCTCTGCCTTTTAGTTAATTTGGATAAGTGTTTGTCTATCTTGTTGATTTTCTCAAAGAACCAACTCTTCGTTTCAGTGAATCTTTACATTGTTCTCTTTGTTTCTATTTTGTTGATTTCAGCTCTCAATTTATTCCCTACTGTCTACTTTTCTTGGGCATATTTGTTTCTTTTTGTTCTAGAGTTTTCCAGTGTGCAGTTAAATTGTTAGTATGAAATTCTCCAAATTCTTTGTGCAAACACTTAGGTTTGTGAACTTTTCTCTTGGCATTGCTTTCATTGTGTCCCTTAAGTTTAGGTATGTTGTACTTTCATTTAAGTTGAATTCTATGGTGTCTTTATTTTCTTCCTTGATCTGTTAGTAATTCAGTGGAGATTTGTTCGTTCCCATGAGTTTTTAGCCTTTCTGTAGTTTGTATTGTTGTTGAATTCCAACTGTAACTAATGGTGATCAGATACAAGGGGTCATTCTGATTTTTTTGTGTGTGTTTGTTAAGAATTTCTTTGTGTCTGGGTATGTGGTCAGTTTTGGGGAAGCTTCCATATATATTCTCTGGGTGAAACATTTTGTAGATATATCTGTTAGGTCTATTTGACTCAAAATATCTGTTAGGTCTGTTATTTTTTTGTTTAGTTTCTCTGGTGAAACTGGGGTGTTGAAGTCTCTGACAATTAATGTATATGCTCCATGTGTGATTTAAGTTTTAGTAATGTTTCTTTTACAAATGTGGGTGTACTAGTATTTGGGGCATAGATGTTCAGAATTGAGACATCATCTTGGTGGATTTGTCCTTTGAATGAATATGAAATGTTCTTCTCCATCTCTTTTGATTAATTTTGGCTTGAAGTCTATTTTGTTGTTAGATGTTAGGATAGGTAAACTAGCTTGTTTTTTAGGTTCATTTGATTGAAAAAAAATGTTTTTTTTTAACCCATTACTCTGATAATATGTCTGTCTTTAATGTTGAAGTATGTTTCTTGTATGTAGAAGAAAAACAATCCTGTTTTCATATGCATTCTGTTAGTTTGTGTATTTTTATTGGTGAATCAAGTCCATTAATATTGAGAGATATTAATGACAAGTGATTATTAATTCCTATCATTTTTGTTGTTGTTGTTGTTGGTGGTGGTGTTGTGTATATGTATTTCCCTCTTTTTGGGTTTTGTTGGTGTGGAATTATCTATTTCCTGTATTTTCATGGGTGTAGCTAACTTCCTTGGGTGGGAGATTTCCTTTTATTGACTTCTGTAGGGCTGTATTTTTGGATAGATATTGATTGAATTTGACTTTGTCATAAAATACTATGTTTTTAACAATATGAAATGCTTCATGAATTTACACGTCATCCTTTGCAGGTGCCATGATAATCTTCTCTGTATCATTCCAATTTTAGTGTATGTGCTGCTGAAGTGAGCATAGTTGTAGTTCTCTATAATAGTCTCAGTCTATTGCAAACAGAAGTTGTCTAGATGAGGGGTGAAGACTGTAACCAACATCTACTTTATTTCTTAAATCTCTCTTCTTTGTCACACACACACACACACACACACACACATACACACACTGTCTAATAACACTACAGATTCACTTTAAGTTCTTCTAAAACTAAGCTTTGGTATCTTTATACCTTGTAGAAATATTATTTTTAAAAAGCCCTAAATGAGTTTCAACCTAATTACAGCCCTGATTTCACTAAGAATATATTGCAGATTCTTCCAACATCTGCTCAGGCAGGGAGTGATTCCAAATGAGTGTTTACTCTGAATGAAACACTCTAGTCATCTGAAAAATCACTCTCCTAGAAATACACGTGTAAATGTTCATTCTTTACTAAGATAAAATTACTGCATGATGCATTAAAAGGGCTAGGGAAGAGATTATTCAAACACCCCAAGCAAAACAACTATGATTTTCCAAAGTCAGGGCTCACTGTTGACGATTCTCAAGGAATTAAGTTCAGGAAAAAGTCATCACTATGAATAATCACTTCAACTACTCCATGTTTGTGGAAAGTTACACCTGAACGCATCCAGAGAAAATCTGGGGGCAATGGAAATTGTTCTTAAAGAACACTTCAAGCCCTTTCAAAAGCAGCAAATGAGATAAATAGAACATGTCAAAACTTTTGTGTACTAATTGGATTTTGCTTCCATGTCTCATTTATGCCAATCTGCTCTTTGTGATAATTATGTGTTCTCCGGAAAAATGGCAAAAAATGCAGCAAGAATAATATTCCAAGAAAGTAACATGTGAGTAGAAAACTAGACTCTACTATTAGTGATAGATCTAATTCGCTATCAGTCATCATTATAATCCTTCAATGAGAGAGGAAGTTGGACATGGAATGCTGAATCTGGTTAGTATGTGAAATGTATGTGTGTGTGTGTGTGTTCACACATTTCTTAACCTCTACAAGGTTGAACTTTAACTGCACTCAATTTCTTTATTACAAACACTCATCTGATCACTGGATACAAGCCTGGGCAGCCCCAAGAATGTCTGGGGACAAGGGTTGCAATGAAAGCTAGAGGAGGCTGACAAGTGGATACACTCCTTCACTGCACAGGAGAAAACATCTCAAACAGAGAACAGTGTTTAATCCCTTCGTCAGCACCTGTTCAAAACACATCTTTTTGTTTCTTCCTTTCACAAAGACACAAAAATCTGAAAGCTGACTTATCATTGAAAACTTAAGAAAACCAATCCCCCCCCCCAATGTTGGAGAAGTTCTTTTGTCAACTTTTTAAAATTATTTACAAATCTGCTGGTTTAAGTTTACCCAAACTCAGTGAACTCAGTAGTGGTTTTAGGAACAGTGCATGATTTAATGTCAATTTTTAATATGCCATCTCCTCTGAATTTTCTACACCATAGTCCTATTCTCTTTGAGGCAGGCAGTGAAAAGAATATAAACTCCTAGGGGTGTTCCTGTCATGTCCTAGCAGCATGTGTCAAATATAGCATTTGGTGGAGCATGTCCAAAGTGAAAGAAAAACTCACATTCACCCAGCTTTGGGCCTGTCCAGGTTGCCTTGTCTCCCTCCTGTGTCTTCCAGCACCTTCTCTTCCACCACAGAGCTCTGCTTGTCTATGCCCTGATGAAATTCCCCAAAGCCCTCTGTATTCTGAAAGCCCCTTCTTAGTATTTAAGGAAACAAATGTCTTCTTATTCCTTTGTTTCCAAAACCTTTTTCTGTCCTCATTACTGCAAAAGAAGTCTATTAAACATGCAGGAGGTTATTTTTTTAAAAAAATTAATTTTATTTAAATGAATACAATCTTATTTTACATACCAATCTCAGCTGTCCCTGCTGTCCTCCCATTCCCCCCACCAACTCCCTCCCCTAGGTATTTCTAACAGTGAATCTGTGCTTCCTTGACCCTCAGGATAGGGCCAGGGAACATAACAATGGATGCAGCTAGAGACCCTAGGACCTGATCTTCATTTAGTGGAAACCATTGTAGTTCCCTCCTCTGAGCAACAACAAGTCATCATCACTGGTTACTGCATCTTTAAAAAAAACAGCATCACCTGTTTTGCAGTAATTAAGCAGTGCTGCAGATTAATTATTCCTCATCTATGTATGCACAGTCTTATATAGAGACACATTTCATAGTTATTTTTCCCCACTAAAGAAGTCTCAATCACCCGATACTATTCCTACTTTGGGTAGTAAAAACCAATAATTTACATTTAAATTCTTACCTAAATAATTGAGTCTAAGAGAGAGGGGAGAAACAAAAGTCTAAGTTCTATTTTATTAACCTCGAAATGCATCCAATCTCTTCTGAGTCCCTATTTATGAAAAGACATAATAGCAACTTGAACCTGAAGCTGACATCTAAAAAGTTTACAGTTGGGAGCAGGTTCTTTATGTTTACATTGCAATGAACACACAAATATGGAACAATATAGAAATCAAAAGTTACTTCTGACCAGGATCTGTGTAGGGAAGAACAAACAAGGAAGGAAGGAATAGAAATAACGGGTTATCCTGCAAGTTTGAAGAATTTCAGAAAGAAAGAAAATAGGCTAGCTGCCTTGGCTGTAACTTATCTGCCTACAAAGCCAGTCTGGGGCACTTGGACCATCACCATAGAGGAAATGGGGTTCCTCTGACGGTGGGGTTTAAATGCGTCCAAGATAAATGATAATTAGATATTTATTAGAAAAGCACTTACACAGATAAGATTAAGTAACCGCCCCAGTCTCCATGCTTCAGAAGGTGCAGGCTCTGCCATTCTGATGCTCTCACTGCAACCCAAGAAGCTTGAGCCAGCCCCTCCTGAACATGAAACCACACCCAGAGGGTGTGGCCACCACCACAAGTTCACTAGCAAAGCAAGATGCCACGACATTCCTCCACCTGGAGAGAAGAGTCCTAGTATCTGAGTGGAACTAGGTGATGGATCAGACCTCTGGGAAAGCTGAGAGAAATCCATATCCATGAGTCTTGGGAGATTCAGCCAACACAAAGAATGATGCTCAGAGAAGGACTTGTACACTTTGGTTTTGTCCCATTCAGCTTGGTGCATAATTACTGTATAAGTGCCTAAGGGCTGCCTCAGGCACCTTTATATCCACTACTACAAGAAAAGAAGGCAAGAGTTGGGAGTCAATCAGGTTAATTATTTCCCTTTGTAGAAAACCAGCAGCCTAGGGAGTATTATAAAGATGAGAAATGGATATAATCAGTGTTGAATTTAATTCTTTCTCTCCAGTCACAGTACCCTGGCCAGTTCTCACACTCTGACTTAGAAGTTCTGGTTCTCTAGCAACTGAACTCAGATTTGATTTACTTACCAAACTGAGAAGTCATAACAAGACCTCCTTTGTAAGGTTTCCTCAGCAAGCAGCTTTCAACTAGGTGACAATTTTCTGAACTGACCATGATACAAACCTGATCTAGGAAAGATTAATCATCTTTCTGATGCTTTGCCAACAAAAAATATACCCAAACCATAGCTCTGTACTGATCCCTCATTTCCTCAGGAAGAGGGTAGCAATCCTGGGCAGTTCAAAGAGGAGGGTTTTGGTTCTAAGTCTTTGATTTTCATCCAGACTTGAGCAAACCAAAAATACTATTTGGCTCTGTCACTGGTAATTGGTACATTCCTAATAGACTAGTAACTGCTTAGAAATTATGTCTTATGTATTAAAAGAGAATGGGAAAATACACATGTAAGTTTCTTTCACTGGACCTACAATAAAAGCTAAAAAAAATTGAATAATAAAAGATTAACAAATGCTTATTTTTATTGATCCTTGTCTAAGTTTCAAATATATTCAATACAAACCACTAGTGGACTTTTGTTGCAGACAAAAGTCTCACCTTCCTATCAGTGCATATACCACCCCACACTTGGTGTTTCAATATACCACCAAATATTATGAAGGGTTCATGACTTGAAGGGGAACTCACAAAGGCACCCAGTACAGAATTAAAGATCTATGTGCCAGGGAAAGGCTAACTAGAGGACAAAGGTCATGCCTAAGCTATACTTGAAGACATATAAGATATTTATCACGCAGGGAAGGCAATTACATAAGCAAACCCATCCACAGAGAAGAGTGAAGGCCATGCTCAGGAATGGCAGGTATGGTCTTTTGTTTGTCTCACTGAGTCAGACACTGCATCTGCTCATAACCTGCCCTGCAAGTAACAAAAGCCCAGGCGTCACCCATCTGACCCCGCCCTGAGCTTTGTTCCAAAATTGCACGAACTCATAAAATTACCAAAGGAGAGCCAGACATATTCCCACCTCATTGTGCTTTGTGGGCATCTTCCTAGAGATCTTGTCACATACATATTTCAAAGCTCCCTAAGTCTATGAAAAAGAAAACAAAACACTCTTGCAGCTACTAGTACCTTGTTCTGTCCCCAACCACAGTTTCTCATTTGTGAAGTGTGAATAATTACAACACACATTTTGTCTGTCTGCAGTAGGGTAGCCATGTGGTGACAGATATTCTCACTAGAAAATTATTCTGTTGAATATGATGTTGCCAAAGGCATAAGTCAAGCGCACATTAGAACATGTGGGGGTGTTAGTAAGCAGGGGTTCTTTTCCAGTAGGTGCAGAGGGAGGTGAAGGAATACAGAAATATACACACAGAGGCAAAAGGAGGCGGCTGCTCAGTTACTCCAATCGAGTAGCTGTTGTGGTGAGGCAGGGGAGGGCCACTTTTCATCTTCCTGTCACTTTCAGGAAATGCCAAAAAGTAAAAATAAAAGACACAACAACAGCTTTTCCATGCACTAAGCCAGCAGCAACTACCTCAACAGGAAACTCTTCATAATAGCTGTAGACTCCAGGGGCTGACTAGAAAGCATGCAGTTCTGCAGGGAAGCAGGAGTGGGTCTAATTTCACCTATCCCAAGTGAAGTACATTGCCAAGGAATGCCAAAGAGAGGA